CAATGTTCTGAAGAGTGCTCATAAAAACCCATGAAAGATGCCATTTCAAAACTCATCAGAGCTAGCAGAACTGGAGTGAGCTTCTATGGTTTTTTTGTATTAGCAGATCATGCATACCATATGTCCTGGCTCTGTTCAGCAAAGGGGCTGCAGTTCGGTATTACAGCCTACAATGGGCACTACAGATCCAGTGCATGTCTCAGTCATTCTGTTCCAAGAGACAAGCTGTCTAGTGACTTGAGCACAGGACTAGGAGTTGGGAGAGAGAGATTTCTGCTATGAAATGCTGCATGCCCAAGGTCACACAACTTAAACTTTCTCTGACTCGCTGTCCAAATAGCAAGTCTGAAAAATCAGGACACTTTTTTAGGGGAGGGAGGGAGTGGAGAAGAGATGTAGTGGCATATATAAGACAAAGCCCCTAACAGCAGGACATCTGGTCACCCAAGTGAAGATAATGCTATTTACTTGCCTCCCTGAGGGTAGTTACTGATTGTACTGTGAAGTGCTTTGAGATCCTTGAATGGCAGGGGCCTATAGAAGGGCTAAATATACTGAAGTGAGATTCTGTACTGGTGTAACCCACTGTTCAGTGTGTGTTACATGTCCCCACCCCACTCTTTTGGCCCCCATCCACAGAGGATAGTGAGTCTGTCACAGCCCCCAGCTACCAAGCCTGGCTCTTTAGCTCAAGCTATAGAGACTCATACTTTAAGTCTGGAGGTCTCAGGCTCCATCCCCAGCATGTCAGCCAAGACAGCTGTTCTCACATTGTGTGCTGCACCTGCTGAGGTACATAGAGAAGAGGAGACAAAGGTGCTTTAAGACACCTTTGCACCTTCCCAGTTCTGGGCTGGTGTGACCTAGGCAGCCTAGAGAGCTGCTCTAAATTTCAGCAGTCTTGCCTAGGTTAGCTGTGGCTACTCCATGGTCTCTGCTATGGAGATTCCCCTCTACTTGATACACCACATGTTCTTGGCCTTGTCCAGGACGGCCGACAGCTGTTCTCTGTCATGCCTGTCCTGATGGAATGCTCCCCCACCTGGCTAAGGGGCCACAGCGGTGTATAGACAGTGGGGACAATCTCTCTCTACGTTTTTATCTAGAAATCTTGAGCCCCTTTCTCAATCCAGTTGGACAGGCAGGGAGTTCTTTATTAAGGTGACTTGTCCCACGGTAACCTGGGTTCCATATTTCATTGTCTGCAAAAATACATGACTGGACTGAATATTTTTCTTTTGTCATTGCTAAAATTAATTGTTGCTGTTTCTAAGGGTTTGTCTACATTGAGAGTTAGTGTGTGGCAAGATGAGGTATAATTCTAAAGCGCACTAGCCTGCCATGCAATAATTGACTCTGTGTACTAAAAGTTTTGTAGTGTACTTTAATCTGCTGCTGTTTGAAACCACAGTAGATCAAAGCACAGTATGGAATTTTTAGTGTGTGTCACCAGGGTCCACGTGGACAGTGAGTGTGTGGCTGGTTATGACACTGTAGATTTACATACCAGCTTCCTGCACAATGTGGCCATATAGTCAAGCCCCAAGTTGTGATGTGGTAAGTCTCTGACTCGAAGAGAATCTAAGCAGCAAAGAGTCTGTGGCACTGTATAGACTAACAGACGTATTGGAGCATAAGCTTTCATGGATGAATACCCCCTTCGTTGCACGCATGTCACTTAGTTATCTGCACTTAGTTATCCTGGGTGCATCTGCTGAGAATTGCTGCTGATCCAAGACTGAGTGCCATCTGCCCACCTCACTTCCTTCATAAATGCTACTGAATGGCAGTTAAGTCCTGCATTAGAAGTACTATATAAGAGCTAGCTATTATTTATTATTACATTAGCTACATGCATGATCCTGATAGTACAGGATGGGGCCCACACATCATGCCCGGGTAAGGAATTCAGCAAAGCAGCAGGCTAGACTGCCAAGTCATCCATTTCATCTGCCTTTAGTTAATGTTTACAGGGAAAGTGAGGCAAGAGGCCCATTTTCATTCTCAGCCTAGGGTCAGATGTGTTCGTCAATAAGGTCAAGTCAGTGGTGTGTCCAGCAGCTAGCAACTAATTAAATGTCATTTGCACTGGGGTTTTTGGTTGTCCTGGGCTGCCAGATAATCAGATTTGTCTTGTTTGTACAGCATTGCAAAGATAGGAAGCTTTATAAATGAAATGAAAAGTGGAAACAAAAGCAGACATTGGGCCTATTGTATGCAAATTCAATTTTACAAGACAACTGGCTACAGAGTGCAAAAAAAAAAAATCTGAAAACTTAATCCGCTTTGGGGTTTTTAAAATATTTTCATGTCTTAGTCAATCCAGAAATCTTTTTTAAATGAATCCAGTGTGTGCAAAAATTAGAATACCCTGGGAGACCGACATGCTCTATTTGGGATATAGCTGTTCTTCATGTGGACTTGGAAGTAACTACTTTCAGGGATGAAAGAGCAGGTTAGTTTCCATTCAATCTTTGGCCCCTTCCATTCAGACTAACAAAAAAGGGGCCAGTTACGTTATGTCCATTGGAACTGGACTGAGAGACCCTCCCCAAACCTCATATTATATAGGGTACCAAACAGCCTTTGTGTCAGTATAAACATGGGTTGGATTTGAACCAGGACCTAGAGAGAAAAGGGTCTATATCCTATCGCTAATTATCTGAACCAGCCACCTTCACTTTATAATCCTTGACACTCAATGGTGCCAAAGTGAAGATTGTCCCACAAACTAAGTGAAAACATCACACTTTTCTCTTTCCAACTAGTCAGGACTAGCAAAGAGGGTGAGAAATGTGGTAATAACACAAAGGAATGGGCTTGTTCTCTGTGTTCCATATAGTAGGATATGGTGATTTTATTCTTTGATTAAACTTTAAAAAAAAAAAATTCATCCTGGGCAGATCTCTGGAATGTCACATTTCAATTATAACAATTTTTTACAGCCAGAGTATCAGTTCTTGGGAAAACTCATAGCTGTCAATTGAACTGCAGAGCCAGGGCAGGCCACCCCCTCATATAATTTTGACTCATCTCCTTGCTCTACATAAGCAGAAAGCTGTAGATAGAATTCTTCATGAGCAGTGGAATATGCTGACACTTCAGTGGAGAGCAGGGTTTAAGGTTGGGGAAAAAATAGTTTTATCCTAGGAACTAATTTTTTTTTCACGAAACATTCCATTGTAGCTAATAATGGGAATGTGCCACAGGCACTGTGGGGTTTGTAGTGAACTGTGTCTGTCTATACGCCGGAGTTCTTGCCCAACTTTATTAAATACGTGTGGGGCTGGTACTAAAGCTCAAGGTCTTCATCACGAGCTATACACAGGCATCTAACCAGTGATCTTATACGCAAAGAGCTCCGCAGGCTCAGAGAGCTGCTATGTGCTCAAGCAGATCTGATTCCTTCCACCCATTAATGGGTTAATGTACATCACGGGTTAATGGAATGTCAGGTATGAGGAGGAAGGCTATACTTGTGGTTTAGACAAAAGGCTGGGAATTGGATCTGGGCTTTTGCAATGGCTTCCTCTGTGACCTTCGGTAAGTTGCTTAGATCAAAATGTAAGTGTCCATTAATGAGGGGTGTCTCCCTTCTTGGGTGCTCAGCTTCAGATCCCTAACACCTTATCTTAATCAGAGGTGCTGAATGCCGGCTGCACCTGTTGAAGTAATGCGTGCACAGTGGCTCTCCAAAACCAGGCTGAGTCTTGAGTTGAGTGCACACACATTTTAAAATCGAGGCTTTAGTTGCTCTGTGCCTCAGTTTCCTCCTCTGTAAAATGGAGATCACAATCACCTGTCTCACAAGGGTATTGTGAACCTTAACTTACAAATGTCTGCAGGTGCTTGGAGATCCTTGGAGGAAAGGAGAGAGGAGCACAGTTACTGTCTTTGGTATTAGCCAGTGGAGAATTGAGTTTACAGTGTAAGATCATGTTGTCGCTATGTGTATTAATATGACTACAGAGCCAATAATGGTGGCACAGTATCTCTCATTATTCCATATTTAATTACTGAAATGCCTCCACTCAAAGTGTATTCTACAGGGAGCAATGTGGCAGCTGTCTATGGAATGAACATACGTATTGCAGCATGAGCTTGTAGAAGACAGTTACCTTGTATCTCTGGATGGGAGGGGGAGCCATTAGACTGGACTGGGAACCCCCAGCTAGAAGGAACATGAAGCTGAGGAAAGGAAACACTAGGTTGAGCACCAGATCCTCAGCTGCTGAAAATCCTCATTGACTGCGGTGGTACTATGCTGGGTTAAATTAGTTGGAGACATGGTCCGGAATGTTTCTGAACGATGAAACCTCTTAGACTGGGATTGTAATGAACCTTGAAGAACTGGAGAGCAACTTAATTATTGCATGGAGCCATATGTGTTTGGCAGCACAACATCCTGACTGTGCATTGCGACGTTTGTGTGATTAGGACTTGTCACCGTCGCACACTTGTGTAACATGGTGAAGACAACACAAAGCAGTGTTGTGATGTTCTGCTATGGTAACTTCTGTGGTTCTGGTAACACCCTTGCGCTCTAAATGGAGCACGTGCAGGGAACACCAAAGATATGCAAGTTTCCTGATCTCTTATTTCTTATGCACCCCAAACTTCTGTGTGGCTCAGTGGAAGTTTTAGGTGCATGAGGGATATGGGATTGGGTGGACCCAGGATGAAAACCTGGCCCTACTGAAGTCAGTGGGGCCAGGATTTTACCCTCATTTTGGATGGGAAGTGATGGAAGTACCTCACTTAAGACCATTATTAAAATGAACTGGACAAAGCCGTTGTGAATATCTGTTGGGAGCCAGAACAAAATTGTCTTTCTCTCCCATATGTCCAAGATGACCTCTAAAACTTTACCCATCTCTAGCTTCTGTGGTTTTCATAATGATATAGACATAGAAATAGATGTATATCCTTGTAAATCAAGGATATTCCCCAAAGTGGCTGTTCTGAACCCCTAAACATGTTGTCTTGTTTTTCCCCCCCAGTATTATTCCCAGCATCGTGACTTTTTCATCATGTCAGAACCTATAACTCTCAATGTTGGAGGAAAACTGTACACCACTTCCCTGTCTACCCTGACTAGTTTTCCAGACTCCATGCTGGGTGCCATGTTCAGTGGAAAGATGCCAACCAAGAGGGATAGCCAAGGCAACTGCTTCATTGACAGAGATGGCAAAGTGTTCCGCTACATCCTGAACTTCTTGAGAACTTCCCACCTGGACCTCCCTGAAGACTTCCAGGAAATGGGCTTGCTACGACGGGAGGCAGATTTTTATCAGGTCCAGCCACTGATTGAAGCGTTGCAAGAGAAGGAGGTGGAGCTCTCCAAAGCTGAGAAGAACGCCATGCTCAACATCACCTTGGATCAGAGGACACAGACAGTTCATTTCACTGTTCGGGAAGCGCCCCAGATCTACAGCCTGTCTTCCTCCAACATGGAAGTATTTAGCGCCCACATATTCAGCACGTCATCTCTGTTCTTGAAGCTGCTGGGTTCCAGACTTTACTATTGCTTCAATGGCAACCTGTCTTCAATATCCAGCTACCTGCAGGACCCCAATCACTTGACCTTGGATTGGGTCGCGACTGTGGAAGGCCTGCCAGAAGAGGAGTACACTAGACAGAACTTAAAGAGACTTTGGGTGGTACCAGCTAATAAGCAAATTAATAGCTTCCAGGTATTTGTAGAAGAGGTGCTAAAAATAGCCATGAGTGATGGATTTTGTGTGGATTCCTCCCACCCGCATGCCTCTGATTTCATGAATAATAAGATTATTCGACTAATTCGGTACAAGTAGAAATAGCCTGTTATTATGATATCAGGATAGACGTAACCAAACACAGTGTTTCATTTTAAGACCCGCTTCAAGACACTGTAACAAACAGCCTAATATAAAATCATGTGATAATGTGTACTAAGACTCACTAACTGTGAGCTGATTTTCCTATACTGAATTTACCAGTGACCTTTCAGAATATGTCTATAGTCTAGATGGATGGAATGCTGTCTATTGGCTTGAGCAGGGTCTAGGAATTAAGGAGTCCTGGGTTCCATTTCTGCCTCCGCCACTGACTCGCTGTGTGATTGTGGGCAGGTCGCTAACTTCTCTCTGACTCCATTTTCCCACTGGAAAACAGGGATAATAATACTTAACCTACTTCAAAAGAATTCCGTGAGGCTTAACTAATGAGGTTTACAGATCGCCTTGAGATTATCCAGTGCACTGTTATAGAGCTGCAGAGTTGTAGTAAGTGCAGTGGATTTGATTCTCCACCATGTTGCACATTGTGTAGCCAATTATACCTGGCCAGAGTGGATGTAGAATGCTACCAGGTCAGCAGGATAGAGGTTTCACACACATTTTACACAGGTATAAATGACCATGAAAGGAAGCGGAGAATCTGGTTTAGAGTGTTTAAACTGAAGTCTTCTTTTCCCTGTAATGAAGCCTCAGTCCTATTCTTCTGTTGGAGTAGCCATGTTTCCACGGGGCAATTTGTATCACAAATGACAAAGGATGCCATGGCAAACAGAATAATGCTGTATACGTGGGTTTTGTTTAAACATGCTGTGGATACACTTAAACCCTTACCAATTATGCTCTAATGCATTAAAGATAACTAGATTTGGTCTTTCTCATAATGGTATGTGTGTCCGGAGGATACTGTTGAAAACATTTTTTGTTCTGGAGACAATTAAGAGGATAGAGAGTGTCAGCCCCAAATGTCTTCTAAATAGTTTGAACCACATCTACCCATACCCCACAGCTTCTCTTTGGGCACATGCTCCCCAGGGGAGATGGGTAATGAAGCATTAAGGGCTGAACGAAACATAGTTTGCCTTTTGGAATATAAACCATCCCTTCTATAAGATTATGCATGATGTTTTCTAATTACTTTTCTTCAATAAAGACCAGGGGCCTGATTCTCCTTTGCTTTGCACCTTGTGGATGAGAGGAAAGCAGTGGACGTCTTGTTCCTTGACTTTAGCAAAGCTTTTGACACGGTCTACCACAGTATTCTTGCCAGTAAGTTAAAGAAGTATGGGCTGGATGAATGGACTATAATGTGGATAGAAAGTTGGCTAGATTGTCGGGCTCAATAGGTAGTGATCAATGGCTCCATGTCTAGTTGGCAGCCAGTATCAAGTGGAGGGCCCCAAGGGTCGGTCCTCGGGCCGGTTTTGTTCAATATCTTCATAAATGATCTGGAGGGTGGTGTGGATTGCACCCTCAGCAAGTTTGCGGATGACACTAAACTGGGAGGAGAGGTAGATACGCTGGAGGGTAGGGATAGGATACAGAGGGACCTAGACAAATTGGAGGATTGGGCCAAAAGAAATCTGTTGAGGTTCAACAAGGACAAGTGCAGAGTCCTGCACTTAGGACGGAAGAATCCCATGCACCGCTACAGACTAGGGACCGAATGGCTTGGCAGCAGTTCTGCAGAAAAGGACCTAGGGGTTACAGTGGACGAGAAGCTGGATATGAGTCAACAGTATGCCCTTGTTGCCAACAAAGCCAATGGCATTTTGGGCTGTATAAGTAGGGGCATTGCCAGCAGATTGAGGGACGTGATCGTTCCCCTCTATTCGACATTGGTGAGGCCTCATCTGGAGTACTGTGTCCAGTTTTGAGCCCCACACTACAAGAAGGATGTGGAAAAATTGGAAAACGTCCAGCGGAGGGCAACAAAAACGATTAGGGGACTGAAACACATGACTTATGAGGAGAGGCTGAGGGAACTGGGATTGTTTAGTCTGCGGAAGAGAAGAATGAGGGGGGATTTGATAGCTGCTTTCAACTACCTGAAAGGGGGTTCCAAAGAGGATGGATCTAGACTGTTCTCAGTGGTAGCAGATGACAGAACGAGGAGTAATGGTCTCAAGTTGCAGTGCGGGAGGTTTAGGTTGGATATTAGGAAAAACTTTTTCACTAGGAGGGTGGTGAAACACTGGAATGGGTTACTTAGGGAGGTGGTGGAATCTCCTTCCTTAGAAGTTTTTAAGGTCAGGCTTGACAAAGCCCTGGCTGGGATGATTTAGTTGGGGATTGGTCCTGCTTTGAGCAGGGGGTTGGACTAGATGAACTCCTGAGGTCCCGTCCAACCCTGATATTCTATGATTCTGTTTTCCTTGTTGGGCCTGTTTTATAGTAGGTGACTTCTGGGTACCCATCTCGCTCTGTCAGTCTGTTTCCTCACTTCCACAGGTGGGTATTGTAGTTTTAAGAATGCTTGATAAAGATCTTGTAGGTGTTTGTCTCTGTCTGATGGATTAGAGCAAAATCGGTTGTATCTTAGGGCTTGGCTGTAGACAATGTATCTTGTGATGTGTCCTGGATAGCAGCTGGAGGCATGTAGGTAAATATAGCAGTCAGTAGGTTTCTGGTATAGGGTGGTGTTTATGTGACCATCACTTATTTGTACTGTAGTGTCCAGGAAGTGGATCTCTTGTGTGGACTGGTCCACCCTGATTGAATTGGCCCTGTCAGCACTGGTTCTCCACTTGTAAGGTAGCTCCCTTCTCTTCATGTGTCAGTATATTTACACCTGCATCTGTAATTTTCACTCCATGCATCTGAAGAAGTGGGATTTTTACCCACGAAAGCTTATGCCCAAATAAATCTGTTAGTCTTTAAGGTGCCACCGGACTCCCCATTGTTTTTTTGGATACAGATTAACACAGCTACCCCTCTGCTCCTTGGGAAGAACTCCCTGATGGCTCCTATCCTAGATAACATTAGGAGTGGAGTGGTGTGATATATCCATGGATTCTAAAGGAAGCTATGAGTCTAGGAATGGGCTGCTGGGCACCCTCTCCCCTATTTTCTTGCTTCTGGCTTTAGGATTTTCTAGTTGGCCAGAATTTGTCCCAGATTTGTTGAGAGCTATGCTTTTGACTTACTGCTTTCTGAAAAATATCATAATCTGTTTTATTTCCTCTAACTCTTACAGAGTTTATTGTGCATTTTAATTTTAAATTTGTTTCACTTTTTTCTGACTACAGCTATGTTCTGAATAATGTTACTAAAAGTGTATTTTAAAAATAAGTAAATAAAATGTAACAAGTGGTGCACCAAATTCAGTGAGGGACATAAATTTGTTAGCAAATTAAAATGTAATGGTATTTTCTGAAGTTGTTGTTTTTTCCCCCCTCTCTAGGACTTTACATAGTACATTATCATAATACTACCACCCAGGAATCACTAGTTCTGAGAGCTGCACTAGGAATTCTGCAATACCTACCCAGAAGGCAATGCAACCAAACTGGTTTAGCATAATCCTAGTGTGGACATGAAGCAGAAGCACAAGCCATTTTAAACCATAGGCTATAATCTACGCAAGTATGGATGCATTTGACCCTTTAAGGTTTGATCCATTATACTGTGAACAATTCTGTCCTCTAGCACTGATTCTTGCAAAGATACTGCAACACTGCTATTCAACCCATGGCTCTTCACAGTCTCTAAATTTGAACAACCACCTATATTATTTTGATGTAGCAGTTGCATTGAAGGAAAAGAAGTCAATTTAAATACTATTTATATGATTTGCACCCACTAGATGCTTTCTAAATGTGTAATAAAATGGTTCCCTGCTCCAGAGGGCTCACGAGATGACATGCAAGTGTCACCTTCACACAAACACACCCAGCCCTGTAACAGTTGGCAATTTCTTGTAGGCCTCCAAACCTATTAAAAACATCTCACAGCCACCTAGGGCTTTAGTTGTACCAATTAGTTGCAACTCCTGGGAATAAGTTCTTTAGCTCAGGTCCAACTGAACAGTTGTATTCCTTAGTGGTTTCTTTCTAACGATGACAGGAAGCTGTAAGCATTGCAGCTGCAGTGAGTTCACACGTAAATGGTTCTGGGCACATAGGATATTATCTGGGTGGGAAAAGGGCTGTTTTTTCCACCAGCTTGGGGGAAGGAGCATGCTGCTCTCCTGCCCAGTTCAGCTCATCATTATCCTCCAGAGCCTGCACTGCTGCTGGGAAGGGCAATCACTGGAATTCTGGAGGCAGCTGCATATTAATCATTATTAATGCAGCCTTGCAAAATTGTCCTTAAAGTATACTGGCAGCAGGTAAAATATGATTGATTCTCTTCCTTTCCCAGGGGGAGTGATTATAATAGGGGAAGAGAAAACTAATTAGTTTTTAATCCAATAGACAAGTAGAATTTTGCAAAGGTGTAATAATTATTAGCACTTACAAGATGCCCTAATCACAGCAGGATGTGTTTATGGGTGTGGTTAGACTACATAGCTGCTGCCCCCCTCTAAGGGTTGCAGGCCTAATGTTTCATGGCTGAAATCCTTTCCTATCTCATCCTCATCTAAGTCAAGACAGTACTTGGGTGCAGTGATGAACTGCCAAAAGTTGAAGAACCAGTTCCTTCAGTCGCTCCCGGTCTTCGGCAGCACTTCGAGGGCAGGTCCTTCAGTCGCTCGGGGTCTTTGGCAGCACTGAATGACATGCCGCGAAGACGCCGAGCAAGTGAGGGACCCGCCCCCGGAGTGCCGCTGGGTGAGTAAAAATTACAAAGGGATTCTCAGGGGAGCCTCCCCAGTCAACAGCTCAGGCAGGCCAGACAGGACAGGCCCCCAGGGCCACCCAGTTCTAAACCGGCTTCAAATTTTAACAACTGGCTCCAGCTCACCATTCCTTGGGTGGGAGACCAGGTAAAATCCACGTGGTGTTGAAGAGTGCTGTTTACACTCCCCTTCCATGCATACTGGTCATTTAGCCCAACCCCCTGCAGGGCCAGTCCCCAATTTTTGCCCCATATCCCTAAATGGCCCCCTCAAGGATTGAACTTATAACCCTGGGTTTACCAGGCCAAAGCTCAAACCACTGAGCTATTACTCCCGCCTGAACCAATACCCCAGCCCTGATAGTACTGTCCATTCATTCAAGACTGAAGCACAACCCACACTATAGATACACATTAGCGCCTGCGCAGTAGACCTGTCCCCAGGGAGCGTTCAGCGCGAGACCGAGGGAACTCAAGAGCTAACGTACGCGTAGGGCGAAGTCTGCAAGCAGGGGGGGGCCGGTGGCGCATGCGCGATGTGGTCGCAAGGTTATTTTTTTTTAAGACCATCTCGGCGGGCTGGCGGGGTCACTTTCTGCGCGTGCGCAGCGGCGGTACCGGCGCTGTCCGTGAGCGGCGTGTCATGGCGGCGGGCGGAAGCGGCGGGCGCTGGTTCCTGGCTCTGGCGCTCGGGGTTTCCCTTCTCAAATGTCTCCTCATACCGACCTAGTAAGGGCCGCGGAACCGGGCCGGTACAGCCCCCCCGCCACGTCTCTCTGTGTGTCCGTGTCCTGCCCAGCGCCGCCGCCTCCTCTTCCCGCCCGCCCAGTCCCCGGGGAGCCGCGCTGACAGCCCCGGCCCATCCCCTGCGCGGGGGCCAGCGGGTCCCCCGCCCCGCCCGCCCCGCCGACCTGCACTCCCTGGGCGGGGGGAGCTGTGGCGCCTCAGGGGTCAGGCGGGCGGCCCCAGGTTGCCTTGGTACCACCCGCGCAGTGTCGCGCGGCCCTAACGCCCTGGGGTGCCCCGCGGCGGCGCCGTGGCGTCAGGTGGGCAAGCGGGAGCCCCGCTGCCTCCCGGCGCGGCCTTGCAGGGCGGCCGCCGAGCCTCCCCACGCGGCGCTGTCCTGGCGCGTGGGGGCCGCTAAGGGGCTCCTGCCGGGGGCCCTGTGTTAGAGCAATGGCACTTCGCCGTCCAGTGCAGCTGCCTCACACCCAGAGAACGGTGCCCCGGGGTTTATGAAGTCAGCTGGCAGTGAGGCTCCCCCACCCCACCCCCGCCAAAGCAACCCCTAAAGAGTTACATCTTGTACGAGCTTTTGCTGGTTTGAGCTGCAGATTCCCCCCCCGCCGCCCTCTTTTCGTGCTGCTGGAGGGGCAGGGCATCAGGTCATCTGAGAGTCAAAAATCTTTTCCAACGCCCACCTTTGCTTTGGTTTACTTTGTGCTTGACACTAGTGGCCTTATCTGTCACCCTTGAAAGTGATGCTGAATTTTGCATATGAGTTTCAAAATGTCTAGGCTTTTAGCACAGATACTGATGGCTCCAGCTAGGCTACCAAGCCCCCAGATGGAGGAAGGCTATTTAATAGGACTGCGCACTTATGTGATGTGGCATTGTGGGTGTGTTTGTTTTTCTAATACTGTACCTCAGTTATCATAATTTGTCTCAGAATTGATAAATTTTGAAAGTGAGAATCCATCTTTTTTCTTTGTCCTGATTGGGAATAAATTTGGGGTTGTAATGATGATGGAGAGTTGAAAGCAATGTTATCTGGCACCTTCTGTAGAGAGTATTAAGAATGTTCCTAAGCAACCTGATTGATGTTCTCACCTCTTAAAAAATCTCACTTCAAATCTGTGCTAGAGGATCAAAGTATGATGTCTGCTTTCCTCAAAGAAGAGCAAAATAAAGGTTTTGCTCAAGGCCGTCTGTGACCCTTTATGGGTGTGTTTTTTTAACTCTCTCAAAATAAGAAATTTGTTTTAAAGATGCAGTGTGAAGTCTCTTACTTTCTGTGAAAAGTTTAATAGTAAACAAAAGATGCTTCTACTGTTAAATTACATAGTTACAGGTTTCAGAATAGCAGCCATGTTAGTCTGTATCCACAAAAAGAAAGGAGTACTTGTGGCACCTTAGAGACTAACAAATTTATTTGAGCATAAGCTTTCGTGAGTACTCCTTTTCTTTTTATAGTTGTTTCAGACGTTTACAGAGTGGGATTTTCAAAAGTTTATAAATGACTGGAACACAGGTGCTTTTAACTCAAACTTAAAACTTAAGTATGAACACTGTCATTTGCTAAATATGAGCATATTCATTTCCTTAGTATGTTCATAAGTATTTGTTGGAGTAGCTCATTATTAATACTGTTTGATGCTTAGATCTGTTTTCATATTACATAAAATCTTTCTCATGCTCATATGAGGTTTGATTCTGCAATTATAAAACAGAATGGTTTGATTTTTTTAAACACGTCTCGTTAATTTTGTAACGTGAGCAAAGTACTAAAAACTGACCTTTTTATAACAGCACTGGAATCATAGAATCATAGAATATCAGGGTTGGAAGGGACCTCAGGAGGTCGTCTAGTCCAACCCCCTGCTCAAAAGCAGGACCCATCCCCAATTAAATCATCCCAGCCAGAACTTTGAGACAATTTACCCTTGAGGTAACCAAAAGCATTACATATTTATAATGCAGCTTTAATAATTTGGCAGATAGCTGTCAGATCAGAACAACATCAGACATGAATCTTCCAATATTCTCTGTAATAGCTTTTATATTTCTGAGTAACAGGAGTCAGCTTTTCTATAAATTGGGACGGTTTTCAGTTAGTCAGGCTCCCTGTACAATAAGAATACTCTGCAAAAAGAAAAGGAGTACTTGTGGCACCTTAGAGACTAACCAATTTATTTGAGCATAAGCTTTTGTGAGCTACATCCAATGAAGTGAGCTGTAGCTCACGAAAGATAATGCTCAAATAAATTGGTTAGTCTCTAAGGTGCCACAAGTACTCCTTTTCTTTTTGCGAATACAGACTAACACGGCTGTTACTCTGAATACTCTCTGCAGTGAGTCTTTGCAATAGGTGTCGTTAAGGTGAGAATGGTGTTATCGAAATGTTTAAATCTGATGCCAATACTTAATTTTAAAAAGTTCTTTACACGTTCAAGTAATCTGGTAGTACTAATTGTTTGTTTGTAATAGTTTCTGTTGCCTAGCAACTAGAGTAAAGTTTGTAATAAGTACAAATGCTAATGGTAGAATATTATAAACTAAAATAAGCCCTATGCAAAGGAGATCTTTTTTTAGCTTTGTATGTTCTCCATTGTTTTCTGTCTATATTTCTAACAATTGTTATATGACCTGGAGGATAACAAGATTATAAAGGAATGGCCAGCATGCATTTGTCTAGAACAAATCATTCCAAACCACCCTAATTTCTTTCTTTGACAGGGTTACTGGTCTAGTGGATAGGGGGAAGCAGTAGATATGATATATGTTAATATTAATAAGGATTTTGACACAGTGCCACATGACCTT